ATCGTTACGCGTGATGGAGCCCTGCTTTCCTGGAGATGGCTGAACACCTGTCTGCCCCTGGGAAGTAGTGAATGAATTGCTTGGTTTGCTTTGCTTGCATGCGCAGCTTTTGCTTTCCCTATTAAACTGTCTTTATCTCAACCCACGAGTTTTCTCACTTCTACCCTTCTGATTCTCTCCCCCATCCCACTGGGGGCGGGGCGGGGGGGGAGTGAGCGGCTGTGTAGTGCTTAATTGCTGGCTGGGGTTAAACCACGTCAACCTCCTTTTGTGGGATCCTGAGGTATTATAAATAATCTTATTCTCCATAGCCTTAGAGATTTTTTTTTTCTTTTCATTAACTCCTTATTTCAGTTAATTTCTACCAGGCTACCAACACTGGACATCAAGATATTTCAACAAACAGTCCCAACCCAACACTGTTGGATCTGTGTCAGCCGCTACCTAGCTTGCATGGATCAAAGGATTTTATTGCATTGGTTAGGGGATCACTTTCTTTAGGTTCGATCTCAGCATTACTTTACAGAACTACTTAAAGAAATCAATGCCAATGGAGTGAACTCCCTAGAAAAACAAACAAGTAATTAAGTAGGGGGGATATTTCACTCTTCATATTGGTTCTGGACTTCTTCAGACAAATGTTAACGGGAAACATAGACAGTTGTAAAGTTGAGAAACAAAGATTCTTTTTGCTCAGATTTGCAAGAGAAAAGAATCAAGAACAGAAAATTCCCGCTACAGCTAATATATTTATACCGCTGAACAGAGAAAATTAAGAAATCCACCACAACTTCACTTCTAGTACCAAGATTTCCAAAATTATCCACACCATTCTAGCTGCTTTTCAAACACAGAAAGAATGAATTGATTAAAAAGCCCAGAACCTAACAATAAACTGTCATTATAGGGGGTATAGGAGAGGCAAAACTTCATGAACTTAAATGTCTAAGTGGTAAACTGGGCATGTTGCACTAACAATATCAATTTTTACTAGCATTTCTTGTTTCTCTACTATTATTGCTTCTGGTGCTCTTTAACAAAATCACAAGGAAGCAGTAGAAATTGATGAAATAATTTCTCTATGGAAAGTAGACTCAATTTTATTTTATTTCTAGACAACCATCCAAGCTTATTACAATATCTGCCTTCTAGTCGACATTATTTTCCTCTGGGTTAGTTTTCACATCTGATTATTTATTAGTATATAGAGAATACAGCGATGTGATTCTTCAACTCAGAATCATGTTCAGGACCTGCATCTTTTTGTAACTGCTCGTGTTCAGAGCTTACTGAGAATCTTTTCTAAGGCTTTTTAGCACATTGTGATTTTAATGGGGTTAGACATTCTACATTTCTAATTGTTAATATTTTGCATGATTTATCTCTGATCTGGCTACCTTGGCTGATCTCAATTCTATTCTGCCTTAGTGAGTTATTCAGCCACTTCTCAACATAACGTTGATGTCATCAATGAATACCTTCCAAGAATTGACCAAAATTACTCTGCTGTCCTCAATCTTACTTGTACTACAAGTAAATATAATGACATGTCTGAAAAGTAATTTTAGATGTCAATCATAAAGTCAAGTTTTTCATAAATGCACAGCCAAACCTTTAACTTCCATTTCTGCATTTAGTAGTTTGAAGAATAGATCTGATACAATGTTACTGAAGATAACAGAAGTTGAACACCAACTTCAGAACTTGTTTGATTGCTGAAATACAGAATTCCAAGAGAATAAAAACATATTCTAGAAATTGAAAGTTATAATTACTGGAAGGTTGCAATTATACGAAAGTTATAATTACTGGAGACACCTCTAAAACCATACTGATTTTAAAAATCACACCTGTAGGCCCACAAAATCCATAACCGAGACCAAAACATTCCAACCTGGTTGTTAGAAAATAACCAGACTTCTATTTACAGGAAAAAATCAAAACAGCTCATGATTTATTGGAAAAATAAGTCCAAAACATAAAATCAGCTTTATTTGCTGTTGGCTCAGTCTCTGCGTTCATGAACAAAATGTTATAATTAAAGCACTAAGCAGCTAAAAACAGCTGTGGCCACAATATTAAATCCAACTAAGGGCAGGAGCAAAAACAGAAAAAAAGGAGAAGAGATTGTGAAAAAGCAATTACCATTTTTGTTTTTTAAACAGGAAGATCTGACAGAGCAGAACACGAAATGTTTAAAAAACCCCACATATCTTTTAAGTAATAAAAAGGAACAAAAGCAACAACAAAATTCTTCCAAACTTGAAAGAGTACTCCAGCAACCAAATACTAGTATTAAAATATCAGCTTAAGACAAAATCAATAAACTCTTACAATCCATTTAAAAGAGTCAATTCAATACTGCTAAATTATTTTCTACCCATTCATTGTACTAGATTATTGTGGTGAGTGGAATGAAGAAAGAAGCTGCTACCCTGGAAGAAAATTCATTATATTACATTAGCATTTCTTGTTCTACTATACAATTTCTACCTTTGTTAACCTAACAGAAACTAGAAAGCAACAAAACAGAGATAGTGAGGAAAAGGGTAATCTGTTTAAACTGTTTTTGAGTGGTGGCTGATGGCAGGACCTTGCTGAAACACCCTAAAGAATCTCAGATCACCAGATTGTTGGAATGATTATTACTTGTATTATCCTAATGTTACAGAAACCAGAGATCTCGTCAAGCTGGACAGCATATGAATGAAGACAAGCAACTGCCCTGGAAATATTATTTCACCAGATCAATAATACAATTTCATGGTTGAATTCTGGCATTCTTGCATCAGTAAGAATGCATCTACACTCTGATGAGCAACTCTGCTGAAGCACTGCTAGTGAGGCCAGTACAGTTTAAGTGCAAATTTGAATGAAGCAGCCTGGTGGTTTTTTTTCTGCTACGACAATCCCCATCTAACTACAGCACGAGAAGTGCCTTCAGAACCCAGGAAACACACATAACTCTGTTTCAAAGCTCATAGCATGTGAGAACTCAGATCAGTATTTTCGACAACAGAGTTAGTTGATTCTCCCAAAACAGGTATTGGTATAGGACAACCAATAGTAGTATAGCTTTGTATAGGTAACACACTAGAGGTCCCAAAAAGACTTCAGGAGAGCATGATGGACCCAGCTTATTGCTTTCAGGAGCTTTTTTTGTTTACTGAAATGGGGAAGGAGAGTTAAAATGACAGAAAGCCAAACAAAGAGACGATATACTAGGAAGGTTAGAAGTTTCAATGGCTGAGAAAATTGAATGACCAGTTTGTCTTGCTGATGCAAACTGGAAGCCAGCGGTCTGATTAAAAGGTGGGATTTTAGTAATGGTTTCTGCAACTAAGTTGCATCATCTCCTATTTCATGTTTGTGATGCATATTTTGTTATACTGTGTGCACAGACGAAGTTAAACTGTTTCCACATAACCTACTAATTACCTTGTACTTAGCTGACAGCATATTCAAAACCTTAAGTGAAACAGGATCAGGAAAGTAAAACTAAACATGATAGCAAAATGGAAAAGAAACAGGAGTACAAGACAGACATATACATCAGAAAGTGGAAATGCAGCCAAAATGAAGAGGAAAAAAACCATAATTCTAACTGAAAAAAAGTGTAAGAAAAGAATTTAAGAATCCCTGTTGAACTAGAAGAGGAACAAAAGAATATCCGATCTAGAAACAGGTACTTTCTAAGAAGACAATTGAAGAAAGCATAGAAGATAAAGGAAATTATTTTTTAAATTATTTGATGATCTAAATGAGATTTTTCTTATCCTTAATAAATGCGACAAAAATAGTAGTGACATAGACAAATAACAGTAGATAGAGATGGTAATGTACTTAAGCAAAGCAAATCACTGGAATAAAATGGCATGTATATAACTATTTATGTATATCCTTAAGCTCCAGGAACTTAAGAATAAGTGTCTGAATCTGCAATAAACTTACAGACAAACACAATGGAGTATTACCACAAGTTCCTACTTGTGAAAAAAATAAAAGTTGCATGTGTCTTTTAAATAGGCATTTTTAATTGATCAATGAACCTTACTTCAAGACAGGAGTTTGTCATTTACAATTATAATAATGTAGATGAATCACGTTATGGAATAGCATCTCCTGAATAAGATTCCAGAAAAATATGTAATTGTCATTTAAGATGCAAAAAGATTTCAAAGCTTTTATATAGTATATGAAGGATACTTTTTTTTTTTACACTAGGAGATATGAAAGTGAGCTGATGTACCAAACATTATCTTGTAGAGCTGGGAATTGAAAATACAAGCCAGAACATGCCCTTCATTTATTTTATCATGCACTTTGGGAGGTACAAAATCCCTGAAAGGAAGACTTCATGAAATATGAGAAATGTAGAGCTAAACATGCAACAAAACTGTGAGCACAGATCAACTGCCTTCAGCATATTCCATGCAAAAGGTCTACTTGAGCTGAAACTAATAGAGCACTCAAGGACCAAAATGTGTTATGATAAAAGAGTAATGGAGTGCGGTTGAATATATCTGAAAATTGATAGTTAGAAAAGAAAAAAATAAGATTTGTAGAGTAATACTTAAGCATTACACAAAAGAAGTTCTAGTACATTCAGAAAAATTTGGCACTGGAAGGAAAACTGTAATCGTCCCATGTAAAGCAGAACATTTCTCTACCTCTTCTACTGAAGTTAATTCTACATTTTTTTCAAGCTGATACAGATCATTTAGGACAGTGATGCTTCAGGCTCAATATCAATGCAAACAGATTTTGTGGTAAGGGTCTGCATCTCCAGAAGGTCATCCAGAAACTGGAATGTGTTGAGTAAACAGAGTATTACTTGTAGTTCAGAAGTGTTTTTTCAGTTTTAAATCTAATCTACAGCTAATATTAGGAGAAACTTAGGCAACTAAAGATCTTTCTGTAACATTTTCATTTTAAAGATGCTAACAAATGCAAACAAGCAGATTTACAATGAATATGTTTGGGATTTTTGTTTTACTTACATATCTTTGTGATCCATCATATTCACACCTCTCAATTTTTCCCAAGCTGCCATCTGAAAAGTAAAGTTTCTCCGCCCTATGATCAATGGTAAGTCCATTTGGTGTCAGAATATCTGTACTAATGATAACCTGTGCATTTTTGCCTGAGAGGGTAGATCTCATGATGCTTGGGAGCTGCTCATTCCAGTTAGTCCAAAACATTAAGCTGTATTAAAATCAAAATAACAAACAAAACCATAAGATACATTTTATAATTTAATTCTCTATGAAATGAGCAACAGAAAACACATATGCCCTCAGAGACAATTATGAATGTCATCTATAAGAAATTGTGATAATCAATGGTGAATAAGAGAATGTGATAGCCAACATCCTATAAATTATAGCAGTTTCCTAGTTCATTAACTTGGATATGAGTACAGATTTTTTTTCTCTTCACAGGTCTGTTCAATTCTGATCATGTCTTTATACTAATATGCCATTACAATATAAACTTAATTCTGCTAATGCGTATATTAGTAATTTCTAACAGTGAAATTAACCTGCAGCGTTTCCTGCAGGAAAACGAACTGGTATGCAGAAGGTTGATAATGGCGAATCAAGTGACCTTAATATGCTCTACAGGAGGTACAATCGGCCCCTTGCTACTGTTAAACAATTATGGACAAAATGTTATGGAATGAGCTGTGGATGTAATTTATACACTGATCAGAACCTGCCCATCCTCTTAATCTCCATCAGTATTTAGCTGTTTTTTTTATGAAACTTAGATAAATCGTATTTTGTAATACAGCATAAACTCTTAATCTGCATAAACTGTACGTAAAGTCACACATGGAAATAACCTCCTTGACTACCCATGCAACGTTGTATGTTCAGCTATCACAAATTAAAAATAGAACATAATAAGGCGGAAATGTAGCCTAGCCTCCCCAAAGTGGAGACAGTTAGAAGAAGCAGAAAAAGCAGGTTGCCTTTCTTCCAGAATTAACAGAGAAGATTAAAGTAACTCAAATTTGTAAGACACTTATTAGCAAGAGGCTGAAGTAGAAATATAAACCCTCCTATTATCTTACTAGGAAACTTCTTGAGAGTGGCAGGAAGGGAACTGAACTGGGCTTCTTTCCAGGATGTTGTCCACAAGCACCATAAATGTATATCTCTTGTTATATAAATCTATACAACACTGATCTTTGTGATAAACACATAGGCCTATCAATTTGCCACAAAAGAAACTCGGATTCCTTTTTGTAAATGCTTAAATTAATTTTGTTTTTATCTAAGCAATGAGAATAACATGTCTGACAAAAGAAATTAGTAAATTTCTCTTGATAATTTGCACTTAACTCACTTTTCTTAAAACCAGCTTCAATTTTTTAACATTCCATGAAAATGTAATGATTATTTGATCTGAAACAAAAACATATAAAATGTTGTATCTTAATTCTGCAATTGCTTTAAAAAAATTAATACTAACACTTGTCTCCTAAACCAAGAAATCTATTTAACCTTCATAGGGTTCAGCTGTATTAGTTGACTGTGAAATAAAGAAGTGCTGCTGTATCCTTGACATTAGGCAAAAATTAAAATCTCGTAAGAAAGATATAATACATACTTTTGACATTCGTCTAGAGCTAACACGTGCGGATGATCATCTTCAGACATTGTTATTACTGCTTCCCGGTTGAAAGCTCCTTGACGTCTCTGGTCAACAGTGTGTCTTGTGATTGAGGATGTGGTTGAACTGGTCCAATAGAGAGTGTCCCAGGCTCTATGATAAGCAAGTCCCTCCACTGACCCAACATCTGGAAGAAACGGTTACAAACAGAGCAAATAAAACTCCTTCTAACAAGACGTTTGTTTTTCTTTTTCCTCAAAGTTGATCCTGCAGAATCACAGAGTTCAGCTATTTCAGTCTACTGACTCTGTCAATTCTTTTATCATTTCACCTGTCCATTTTTTTAATTGGAATCAAAGTCTTATTATTTTTTCATACATTTAAATTAAAAAAACACAGAGAGCAAGATCACTATGAATATCCCTGTACTATATTTGTCAATTCTAACACTCATTAAATTAATATTTTTACTACAGTGTCCCCAGATAATACATTAGAAATAATAAGCATTTATTCAAGACAGCAATAATTTAGTCACAACTTCAAACACCATTTAAGCCAAGTTCTTGGGCATGTTTTCACTAATTACTTGTATTATTTAGCATTATTTTTCTATGTATTTTCTAACACAGATACACATTACATTAATAGGGATCAAAGTGTCCTCTTGTTATTAACTGTAGAGGTGTTTTTTAAACACCTGAAAAATACTGAAAAAAGACCAACTCTGAAGGTCTCAGCATGAATACATAATTTTAATAAGCCTTTTTTTCTCTTTCATTCTACATAAAAAACTGGGAGCTAGAAACAAAAGCAAATATCAATGAGCAGCTAAAGCATATATTTAACATCCAGAAAAGATAAATTATATCTGATTCCTATATATAAAAGTGACAGACTGTGAGAAATAGGAGTAATTATTTCCTACCATTATTTTTGAATTACTACAAAAATGTACGTTGATTACTTCACTTATTATTTTGTTAGAAACAAATAATTTTAGACCAGAAGGTTCATGCAGCTTATTAATGAGCTATAGAAGGCAAAAATCTAGAAATATAATAAGGATTACATTATGCTGGTTATTACAATTCACATTCAGTTTGCTGGAAGATGTAATTTTTACCATGCAATTCATACACACAGAACAGAAAGTCCCAAAATAAGTTTGATCACACTGGAAGTGCTAACACTAAATCAAAACTATGAGGCAAATAAATCAAAACTATGAGACAAATAATTATTTATCAGTTTTTTTATCTTTCTCTTTCTAAAGCGTTTGGAGATCCTCTGACTATATTTTCATGACATATCTGTAGAGAAGCCTTGGTGACTTGTCTTGGAAGAAGAATAGAAAAAACAAATTAGGTGACACTCCTTAAATGGAGGTGAATATATGTAAAATGGGTTTTCCTATTTATGAAGAAGAATTTATGAAAAAAAGATATATTCTCATATATATACTCTTGTAAGCTCACTTACAAGTAACTCAAAAAAGTGACTGTATTTAACTTTTAAGATGACATTGAAGGCAACTTGAAAATTACAAAAAATTCTTCTGACCATTGCAAAGATGACCATTTACATAAGAATTCTGGTTTTCAAAAAGATGAATGTGTTACAAGTATTCTTTCTTTAAATGCAATATTTAGTCGCCTTATTGATTTATTTTTTAATTTTTAGCATCAAAAACATATCGAGATATAGTGAAGGTTTTATTTTTTGTTTCAGGAATCACCAACTGAAATCAAAGATAAACAGTTCTTTCAAACATCATGACAGAGATATGCAAACACCTACTGAAGTATTTTAAAACCAGTTAGAACATGTCTGAATGCAGGGTCATTATCAACTATGGTTTATGCAGTTTCTGAGCATGTCTGTCATACTATGAACTGAGAAAGTCAGTTGCTTCATTCTTGGGTCTTGCACCCCTGAGCACCCACACCGCATGCATGTTACTTTACACCAGGGCAACCTTCTGGAACAAAACAACTAACTCCTTCTGAGATGTAACCCACGTTATTCTTCTGGCAAAAATTTGCTACTTGTTTTAAAAAAATGCTCTTTTGGGAGTATAAACAAGACCACATCAGATTTCGTTCCTTTTGCCTACAGAGACCTCCCAACCACTAAAATCTCTACACCTCAAACACACCTTAACTTTCTCACACCATGCTTCAGGATGCGCAAAAAATATCCTTGATCATAACATCAAAATATCACTCTTAGGACTGACACACAGCCAGCGCACAATTTTAGGCAGCATGAGCCAGAAGAAATCATAAAAATAATGGTAATATCTCAGAGCCAGAGAAAAACAACATAGGATTCGAAGGAAACCTGGACTGCCCAAATCATCCTAGAGGCACCAGACCAAGCACTGCATACATGAACCACTCTGCTCCCTGGTCTGGGCCCAGGGATCACTCCCAGGGGCAGAAATCTGTACAGTTTAGATACAGGCTCTGATATACTTCTTCGTCACTTCTTGCAAATCTTCCACTAACTGTGAAATTAAAAGAAAACTTAGTAAGTGTGATAAATATTGAAATAAAGAGCCAGGAATACAATTCTAACTTAATCTACTAATTTCCATTAAAATTATATGCTGAATTCCAATTTACCACTACTTACAATTCTCTAAACTAAAAACAACACTCTTAGATATAATTTGGACAACGCTCTTAGATATATGGTTCAACTCTTAGGTTTCTCTGTGTGGAGTCAGAAGTTGGTCTCGATGATCCTTGTGGGTCCCTTCCAACTCGGGATGTTCTATGATTCTATTAAAAAATGACAGAAGTTGTATTGACAATTTCTGGCCAATTCTGCACTTTGTTTGTAATGAACAAACCATCAGAGTACTTATTGCATTATTTTTACCTTTCATATCTGTGAACGTTGAGTGTTTCCTCATCTTTATTGTGGAAGTTTTTAGAAAAATGAAATTAAGTCTTTGTCTTGTGGTTAAAGACATAGCCCTTAAGAGATGAGGATTTAACTAAAATTTGCTGCAAATCATGCTCTTCATTTGAAAGATGACTATCAGAAAAAAAAATTCATTTCCCTCATGTAACTTCTTGAATTTCTATCAACTTTAGCTTTGTTTCTTGTCTAAATCTGTCAAGCAATTTGAAAGCAAACTGTTTATACAATATAGCCTAAAACTCTTCTGTAGTAGACAAAACATAATGATGTTGTTCCTGCCACAGCTAGATGTGATGAACTAGAACACAACTAGAATGATGAAAGTGCTCTTCAAATACAAGATGTATAGGTTTACTTATAATTTCTATGCTTAAGAGACAAACTCCATTTTTCTGCAGGAATTAGAAAGTACAGCTTCACATTCTTAAACTGGATCAACATATCATACTGCAACTCCGTATCAAGAGTTCTGTAAATGGTGACAGAAGGTGGTTTAATTCAACATTACTATTTATAACATGGTAATTTCTAAATTTTTAGAAAACAGAGTCATGGAAAGTTCTGCCATATATGGAGACAAGCAAACATCTAGCATTTGAAGGATACACTCATCTTCCTCTTGTTTAATATCTTCCTCTTGTAAAATATCTAAAACGTGCAGTTTTGAAAAACCTTGCCGTTTTGAAAAACCTTGCCATATATACATATGTTCTGAGTGGAGCAGAACTAAACCAAAGCAATCAATAAAACATTTTATTTAAGAGAACAGCAGCAACAACTTTAAAAGAAAATAAAGGAGCTAACATAAAAAAAAAACAACCAAGAAATCTCTATCTTAATGGGAATTTCAAAGATTAAGACTGTGATTGAAAAGAAAAAAAAAAAAAAGCAAATCTGAAAATAGCCCAGCAACAAAATCAGGCTGTGAAAGCTGCCTGAAGTCAAATACCTGATATCCAATTAAGGAAATGTTCTATCATAAATAAAACTTTGGGAACTGCTTGACGTATATATGCTTTTTAAAGAAGAAGAGAGGGCTCCTTATTAGATGATCACATCTTCGAGCAAATTAATTCTGAAACTATCAAAAGGTTCAGGTGACAAGCCTGTGGATGATAACGGTTTCATAAACACCACAAACACAAAAATTCAGAGTAAAAAACCATGCTTTTCTTTAAAAAAAAAAAACAAAAAACCCAAACAAAAACATTCAGAGGAATTAAACTGCCAAGAAAAAAACACTAATTGAATTAAAAACTGTCTGCCACAAACACATACCAAGTACATTTGCTTAGCTCCACCAAAAGTATAAATTCTGAAGGATTTATACCAAGCACTCTCTTTTATTTGCCAATAAACTTTTACTTTTATCATGTTCCTTACTTATGGAATTGAGAACTCCACCAACACAGAAGAGAATCATTTAATACTTTTAGAAATCTGTAAGATAGGTGGTTTTAAAGTCAATGGCATAAGACCTAGAGAGTAGGTGCTAAAGCGATCCAAGATTTAGATAAATTCTTACAATGGAAAATACAACTAACTTTGTTCTTATTAGCATGTAGTATGGAGCTGGATGAAGTACCATCAGTACACTACTCAGGCAAATCTTCAGTATAATAAGTTATCAGTGCTAATACAATATTTTTTGTTAGTTTATATTGTTTCTAGGTTAAAATAAACTTTTTGTTTTAGAGGTTAGTCAAGAATCCCAAAATTCATATAGATCCTTTTATCAATGATAAAGCAGGTGCTAACTGAGGACAGAAATGGACCTAGAAATGGTCCTCTGGCCACTTCCAGGTGGTTCCTTAAAACGAAAACCTTCTAGCAATTTCATATTGCCAAAGACAGGACACTGGAGAAAATTCCAAAGCAACTGCATTCTAGTATTATATCATTACCAGTTTGCATTGATATTATTTTATATTTACTTATTTCACCCTTCCCTAAGAAATATTCTACAACACTTCTTTTTTTTTTAATTTATCATTAAATTCAGTTTAAAATCAGTAAATTCAAAACATATCAGAAATATGTAGTCATCCTATCTGGTGCTACAGTTGGGGGATTCAGTCCCAAAATCTACTAACAGGATGAAAATTAGCAATTTGCTTACTCTCAGCTTCATATTTTCACAGCATCATATAATATTCTGAATTAGTAAAGCATAAAGAAACTGGAAATGAAAAGAAACACATTTGTTTCACTGACATATTGAATTAAAACACTGATGGCATTAGATGCCTACAGCAC